ATATATGAATGATAGAATACAATAATTCGAGGGTTGAATTATACCGTCCAAGTGGAAATTATAGCGATACGTAAATTAAGCGATCTGCGAGCTGTCATTAAAATCCAGGATTTTAATTTTAGCAAGAATTAATTTTAGTGAATTAAAAATGCTATTACACAAAAACAGAATGAATTTTTAACAAATTAAAATTCTCTCTTTACATTCTGCTTAGAAGTTGTTTAATTTATAGGGATAAATTCAGATAAAGACAAAGAAACACTGAAAATAAAAAAAAATTGAAGTTTTTGTTTTTACATTTTCATCGTTTTTCCACTCTGTCTTCTTCCCTGTATTTATCTTAGTATTTCAAGGGTTTGTCGGGCTTTGTACAAATATTAAGTATTTTTTCCGTTTTTGCTTTCTTAATTTATCGGTTAAGTATTTATGAATAACTATCAGGGTCCAACTCATACAGATTCACACTAGAAACATTACAAGGCATCTTTTTTTAACAAGAAATGTTAAACTTATGATTTCCTTATAAGGTTAAAAATGCAATATTCTAAATTTAAAAACACTTAATTAAAATTTTCTCAAGTTTATTTTTGGCAATCCAATAGAATAAAAGGGGACACAATTTAAATTTAGTCTGATGTAGAAGTATTGCAGTATGATTTGGAAGCAAGGTTAAGGTAGGTTATCTCAATATGCTATACTTATAGGAGGGTCATACGTGTTTCAGTTAATTCCTTGTTTAATAAATTTCATGTTTTAATTAATTAGTCTTTAGATATTAAGATATTAGTCTTTAAATGACTTCTAAAATTTAACCCCTTTTCCCTTTTTTAAACGGAACACTAAATGTGCACATATCCCAAAAATTGAACATGTCTTCAAAATTATATATAATGAACCTCAAAATGAATTAAATATAGATACAAATAAATTAAAGAAAGGTACAACTGAATTAAAGATAAGGGTAAATAATCATTCCTTTCTTTAATTGATTAAGACTAGATTCAAATAAAATGCACTTATTTTTGACGAAATTACACTTTTCAATTCAATCAAAGATAAATTCAATTGAATTATAGATCTATCTCCCATTAATTTGAAAATAGGTAAAATTGATTTATATAAACATAAATATCATTTAGATGTAATCAAAGATAGTTACCATTGATTTTAAGACACAAACATATCTGCAATAGATTTGAATATAGGTACAAATCCATTATACATGGGCTCAATTCCTATGCCCATTAAAAATAATGAAAGCTCCCCCTGACGTTGCGTTTTGAACAAGAAAGGAAACTGTACAACACATTTGTTATGGGGAGTAGTTGTTATTGTCAGTATCTCTATAATTAAAGAAATGATTAACTCAATTGCAACTATCTCTGAAACACTTTTACCTATCTTTAACTTATGGCATTTGTATCTATCTTTAAAAAATACAATTACAATCAATCTATTGTCAAATTGACCGTACCTATCTAAATAAAATCAAGTTTGGTAAGTCTGAATTCAACACATCTTTAATTTATTTTAAGATATGAATTAGTAATTGGAAGATAGTTATAATTAATTTAAGATCGATTCAAATACTTAAATGAATGGTAATTTGATGTTCCATAAATTTAACCTCATGGTTGATAAGGTGAACCATTAGACTGAAATAAAGTGTCATGATTACGTTAGAGTTTTAGCAGCTGAACCCGAATTAGCTCCTGGGCTGCTTGGTATTAATCTACCCGCACTAACCCTTCTGCCATCCTCCCCAAAAGAATACCACGTAGATCTGCATTTATTATGCCATTGCTTAAGAACTGGGATGGTATATAGTGATTGGGATGTCCTTACGTCTGTATAGCTGTCCGTTTGTCTGTATACCCGTCCGTCCGTCTGTTACGATTTGAGGTATCCACCTTTTTTCCACAACTCCACTTAAACTGCCGAATGAAATTTGATGATACTTCTACAAAATATTTGTTATCTACTTGCATTGTGAACTCCTTTTTCACTTTTTGATGCGATACATATTTTGGAATTCCCTTAGCAAAGCATAAACATGACCATTCTTTCTATAATATTGAAATGTAGCCATCTCTTATCCATAACTTCTCCCAAGCAAATAAATAAAATTAAATAATAATTTCACAGATTCTTTATTACATAATACCATTGTGCACGTTCTATTTTCCTTTTTGATCTGACATTTATTTCTTGTCTCCCAGTGCAAAGCATAGACTTTACAATTTTAAGTCATATGGGAGGCATGGTGTTTCATTTAGTGAGCTCAGTACACACAGTACTACTAGTCTTGATACTGTGTTACATAAAAAAAACTGTAAACAAATATAATGTGTTTATGTACAATATACAATATATATTGAATTTTACTATACCAACTTCAAACAAAGTTAAAGGGAATTTTCTTTCCTTTTATAGAATCATCGTGTTTACAGGAAATATTTGATCATGGCAACACCCACCTGGCTGTAAGTAAAATAATAATACTAGTAAAATTGATGTGCTGTTGAAAGAGATTAGGCAATATTTGTCCACATTCTACAAGTAACAACTTCTATGATTTATAGTGTGAAATGGTTGAGCAAGAGCATACTCTACGTATCGTTTGAACAATTTCTAAAACGAAGTTAATTATTTTGTAACACAAAACAAATTTTGTATCAAAATTTCCTATTCTTCATGATTGTCAACTTTGTCTTAATTTTTTATGCAATACTTTGAACGAAATTTGATAATAACATGCTACATGTACGCTTTAACCGCCTTAGAACAAAAAAAACAGTAGTCAATACCAAAGTTAGGGTTAGGGTTAGGGTCGTAAAGTCGTAAAGGAATTTACTTCTTATATTGCGCTCCGTTATTCATGTTATTAGCAAACTTATATTTGTATTCATATGAAGCAGAATTTTGCAAAATCTTATGCACGAAAAGGGGAAAACAAGAATATCAGCAGTCTCGTTTAAAGTCATCATTTCGTAAGTTTTATGGTCGATACAATGACCTTGTCAGCAAATTAAATTTATCACTGATTCAAATGCTCACTGACTTTTCTTACTAATTGTTAGTCCATTATTTATACAGTGATTTGACGACTGATTTTTCCCTTATTGCCCGATCATGACAAAGAGCAAACGGCAGGTGTGACCGGTCAGCATGGGATGCTCACTCCTCCATGACACCTGATCCCACCTCTGATGTTTCGCAATCCCGAGTTTGCTCTGCTCCTATTTTGTATTGTTTTATGGACTTTGATATTAAATATCATTCGATCATTTGATAGATCTGAAAGGCACCTTTTAATTTACTAGATCTAGACCTTAAATGTTAATATTTATCAAACAGTTCTCGCTTTTCAACTGTCCCTCTTACACACTGTCACCACTGACCTCAAGTTGTAATAGATTATTTAAATTAGAATTTACAAACCAAAACAAATAATATGTTTGGAGACCTTAAAAAACACAAAGATTCATAAAATTAACAATTAATTTATTTACATATGTACCATGAATATCAAATCGGCCAAAACTTCAATCATGGTTATCACGAGTGTTTGACACCACTTTCCAACGTCATCCACGGTCCACCAGATTGTTCATATTGTCCCCACCGGACAACCATGTCCCTACATTTAGCCAGTCTCCACGTAAACAATTACTCCCGTCCAATACAAAAGCTTTATATACAATTTTGGTTAGTGATCTGCAGCATTTTATACATAAAAATTGTACTGCCGTACCCCACGGGCTTGCTCTCAACGCCGCTACAAACATCCCTGAATCCTAAGATCACGCAGCAGGGGAGACTTAACGCACCCAAGTTCACACAGCATGGGTTATATAAAGACCTCATCTGACAAACACTAACCAAACTTAACTAATCAAACAAGTTCTACGAGTATACGAGGGCTGTTCAATGAATAATGACATCGGTGCTCGGAAAGAAGCAAAAGAGGATTTTCAATGATTTAGTCTTCATGATTTTACGTATTTATCTCTTTTAATTAAAACCCGTGTCTTTAACATTTTTATCCAATTTCTGATTGTTTTTACAACTCATTTTTGGGTATGACCCTTGGTGTACTGGAAAATGGCAGATCATTTAAAATGATTTTCTGGACTTGTTTCTTCCTTCTGAAAGGTGTTTTTTTTTAAAGTTTAGAAATAGAAACAAGTCAAAAGGTAAAAAATTTGGTGAATATTGTTAATGTTAAAAAACATTAACTTTCTGTTTATCCCAAAAACCCATTTACTCTTCTGGCCGTGCGAGTTTGGACGCTGTCATGAAGAAATTTAATGTACAATGTAGTGGGTTCCTGATTTTATGTCCTTCCTCTAATAAACCTTTCGATATATTTTGCAAAAAATTGCTTTCTAGACTCCTCCAGAAATTAAACAGTCTCCCCGAATACGAATTTGAACAAAAATACCACTAATATTTAAGAAAATTACATATAAATCTGTCTCTGTGCTCTTGCAAAATGCAATTTTGTGACAAAAATGGAAAACAAGGTCTTTTTAACACTAACTTAGTCAGTAACAAAATGACTGAGAAAATTAGCTCCAATATTATGGACACCTCTCATAACTTCAGTTCTAAAGTTGAACACTTGTAGAAAAAGAGACCATCTCATCAATCTGCTGTTTGAAGCTTTAGTCCTTTGTGAGTTCATTAGGGGTCTATGATCTGTCTCCAAATCAAACGCTCTTCCATGAAAGTAAGACAGGAATTTCTGTATGGCCCCTACGGCTGCAAGACACTTCTATTCCACAAGCGAATAACATTGTTCTCTGTCTAGCAGCTTCAGGCTTGGATATGCAACAGGGTATCATTCTTCTGCATCAACATGGTACCAACTCCATGATCAGATGCATTGGTTTTTAAGATGAATGGCTTCGACAAATCTGGTAATCTGAGAATTGCATGGACTGTACAGCAACATGGATTTTAAACTCTTAAATGAATTATCGTGTTCTTGTTTCCAGTCAAATTTGTTTGGAACACCTGTCTTGGTTAAATCAGTTAAAGGAGCAGCAATAGTGGAAAAGTTCTCTATAATAGCCAATCAAACCAAAGAAAGATCTAACCTGCTTCTTTGTCTTACATCTTGGTGCTTCTGGATAGCTCTCAACTTCTTGTTGATTGGTTGTAAGTTTCCTCCATGGAGGACCCAAGTACTCAAGTCTCGAAGTTCACATTTTGAGGGTTTTGCTCAGACTGTTACATAAATGAAATAGTGTTAGAACAACAGTCTGTGTTACGGTCTGGATACTCTGATATAGGTATCCCACTCTATGTTCCGTTACAGACATGTAGACCTACTGAGAGCACGACTATATCATCTCTTAATGACTTCCAGGACCTGGTCCACCATAATAAGAGGAAGCAAATACACATACACAAAAGAGCCATGTCCTCGCAGATTCTAGGGATCTGTCAACAGATGACAGGGAACCATCAAGCTGCTCTGAAATCCCACCAATAAACTCTTAGACATACATCGAGCTACATACAAACTGCTACATTGATGACAATACAGGAAATCATGCAAAGCATATATACAGACATCCATAGTTATATATCATGATTGTTACCTGTCAGAGTTCGGCAATTCAGTACTTTTCTTCGAAGGGAGTAAGAGAGAGAAAGAAACTCTCACCCCCTCTCTCCCTTGAAATTTTATTTAAGAAATTCTCATGTTTAGTATGTTATTGATATTTTAATTGCTTTTTATCAAAAGAAATGGGATTTTAAAAAAATCCAATCACAACTCACAATGTACACCACTGTAAAGAATTCCTTATCAAGGCTTGTAGTTCACTTCATAGGAAAAGTTAATTTACCTTTTCCCCGCAAGCACTTTATAGCGTGGTATGTTATGGGTCAGAATAACCCTAAATGCCAGCAAAGATCAATCACACAGTTTAAACGTAACACTAATTTTTTTACAGTAATATACAAATCATTAAGTACAAACCTAGCAAAAATCTAAAAATACATACATCAGAGTGTCCGTTGCTGCACACAGTGTCCCAGTGAAATTATATCCCAGTAATACCTCAATGATGCTTATACGACAATCTTTTCTATGCATCGAATTGACAGGATATTTTATACAGTAATATAAATCTAGAATATTCTAGAAATTGTAAATACATGATATTCCTGGAAAGTTCTAGACATAAACAAACTTCAAGAATGTTCTAGAAAAAATGACCAAACATATTGACCACTCTGGAATGTTCAAGAAACTTAATGTTACTAATAATATACATGATGAAATAATACAAATACAACACACCTCACAACACCTCCCCCCTTAAAAAGTTTGAATGTCAATGAAAACTTATATTGTCAAAATGTTAATACAAAATCATGTATGTTCACGATACTCTAGACAAGGCATCTGCAATAACATTGTCTTTGCCTTTGATATGCTTAATTGTTATGTTGTATTCTTGTAACAACAAACTCCATCTAGTCAGTCTTTAATTCTTGTTTGACAATTTATGCAAAAATGTCAGGGGGTTGTGATCTGTATATACAAGAATTGGATGCAAAGTAACATTCAGATAAACATCAAAATGCTGTAAGGCTAACAACAAAGCAAGGCATTCCTTTTCAATGGTGGAATACTTTTGTTGACATTTTGTAAGTTTCTTTGAAAAATAAGAAACAACTCTATCTACCTTATCACTATGTTCTTGAAACAAAGCTGCCCCGATTCCAACATCACTAACGTCAACAGTAAGCTTAAATTGCTTAGAAAAATCTGGAGTTGACAGAACTGGATTGCTCATAAGGACAGGTTTGATTTTATGAAAGGATTTTTCACAGTCCTTTGTCCATTCAAAATTAACCCTCTTTTGTAAAAGATTTGTAAGTGGACTTACAACTGAGGAAAAATTTGGACAAAGTTTTCTGTAAAACCCAACCATGCTTAAAAATCTCATTAACTCTTTCTTGTTTGTAGGAATCGGGAACTTTGCAATAGCTTCCACTTTAGCCATAATGGGTGTAACATAACCTTGACCTACTTTATGACCTAAATGCTCTACATAGGCATGACAAAATTCGCTCTTCTCAAGGTTCACAGTTAAGTTTGCTTTAGCTAAAATGTCAAACAAAGCACGCATGATTCGGAGATGTTCGTCCCATGTGTCGCTGTATATGATGCCATCATCAATGTAGGCCTCGCATCCCTCGAGGTCTTGAAGGAGGGAGTGAATCATCCTCTGGAATGTAGCCGGTTCGTTTTTCATGCCAAAAGGCATTACTTTATACTGATAAAGTCCATCTGGTGTAGCAAAAGCAGATATTTCTTTTGCTCTTTCTGTTAACGGTACTTGCCAGTAGCCTTTCAACAGGTCAAATTTACTGACAAATTTCGCGTTTCCAATTTTGTCAATACAGTCATCGATTCTAGGTATTGGATATGAATCAGTTTTGGTTACAGAATTCACCTTTCTAAAGTCTGTACATAATCGGTAGGTACCGTTCTGTTTTGGTACAAGAATACATGGTGAGCTCCAATTACTTTTACTAGGTTCAACAATGTCATTGTCCAACATGTACTGCAATTCCCTTCTTAGGTACTGCAATTTTATTGGATTGAGACGGTACGGATGTTGTTTGATAGGCAGAGCGTCGCCAACTATTACATCATGACAAGCTGCATTAGTTTTCTTTGGAACATCCGAGAAGATTTGATGATACTCATTCATCAAGTTTTTAACTTGTTCTTTTTGATGAATGTTCAAATGTCCAAGTTTGGCATCAAAATCAGCGAAAATTTCGGAGTTTTTCAAGCGGACACTCTGAGTACAATCTTTCTCATTCATTTCTACACTTGTATCACTTTCAATACAATTTTGAACAGTCTTAGCGTTGGCTAAAGTGGAAACTGGTTTTACAGAATTTCGGTCACACCTTTCAAAATACTCTTTTAACATGTTAATGTGACAAACCCGTTTCTCTTTACGTCGACCTGGTGTCTTAACTACATAGTTTACATCACTAATCTTGCTTTCAATTTCATAAGGGCCATAAAATTTGGCCTGCAAAGGATTACCAGGAATAGGTAAAAATACAAGAACCTTATCACCTGGCTTAAACACCCTATTTCTGGCATCTTTGTCATACCACATTTTCATTTTCATCTGAGAACTCTTCAAATTTTCTTGTGCTAATTTACAAGCATTGTAAAGTTTTTCTTTGAAATCAGACACATAATCTAAAAGATTAAGATCACTAGTCTCAGTCAGCCACTTTTCCTTCAACAATTTCAAAGGACCTCTAACTGTATGACCAAACACCAATTCAAAAGGACTGAACCCAAGAGACTCCTGGACTGCTTCTCGTGCAGCAAATAGTACAAGATGAACCCCATCATCCCAGTCTTTCTCATACTGATAACAATAGGTCTTCAGCATTGTTTTTAAGGTCTGGTGAAAACGTTCTAGCGCCCCCTGGGACTCAGGATGATAAGCAGTTGATCGATACTGCCTAATACCCAACTCATGCATGACTTGCTGGAACAACCCCGACATAAAATTTGAGCCTTGATCCGACTGAATTGCCTTGGGTGCTCCTACAAAACTGAAAAACTTGTTTAGGGCCTTAACTATGCTCTTTGCCTTTATATTCCTAAGAGGTATGGCTTCAGGAAATCGAGTGGATATACACATAATGGTGAGTAAATACTGGTTTCCAGATCTAGTCCTAGGCAAAGGTCCTACACAATCCACCAACACTCGACTAAACGGTTCTTCAAAAGCTGGAATTGGTTGGAGAGGGGCGGATGGTATCTTCTGATTCGGTTTACCTACCATCTGACAGACATGACACGACTTACAAAACTCAGAAACATCCTTCCTTAGCTTAGGCCAATAAAAATGACTCAAAATCCTATTATAAGTCTTATTGATACCTAAATGACCAGCCATAGGTGTATCGTGAGCTAAACTCATGACATCTAGACGATAAGCAGCTGGGACCACTATCTGGTGAACAACACGCCACACTTCATCTGGGGAAGCGTCAGGTGGTCGCCATTTTCGCATAAGGATGCCATCTTTCATATAGAAGCATTCTCCAACTTTAGTAGCCTCTTCTGGTGGAAGTGCCCTCTTACTAAGTTGAATGATATCTGGGTCTTTATGTTGTTCAGAGAGTAAACGTTCTCGGCTGAGGATGTCCTTGCCTTGGCTTTCTGGTAGATTTGACTCATCTTCATTACCACTAAATTTTGATAAAGGTTCCTTCGTCACCGACTTCTTGATATTGTGTGGTTCCATGTTTGTTTGAGTGCCATCAAGGTCAGATAAGAAAGTGTCATTCAAATCAATATCAACAGAGGAATTCGTCTCGTCAAAGGCTTGAGTATGGTCTGCCTCCATTTCTCGTCTTCTGGCCATCGCTCTAGTAACAGCACAGGCTGGATAAATGTCATCATCTTTATCATCGCACATGACATTGGAAGTGATTTTCTCACAAACTATAGGATCAGGTACAACCTTCCCACCAGCTAAATCGTTGCCTAACAACAAAGAAATGCCTGGAACGGGAAGAGTAGGTCGAACACCTACGATAACAGGTCCAGTAACTAAATCTGACTTCAAACTAATTCTATGCAAGGGAACATCAATGACGCCTAGCTCCACACCCTGTAATAAAACTGACCCACCAGTAGAAGTCTGCTCAGACAAAGGAAGCACGCCCTCTAACAATAACGTCTGTGCAGCACCAGTATCTCTCAAAATCTGGACAGGTTTTATTTCGCTAGAGTCACCGAGTGAAACAAATCCCTGAGACATAAAGGGTTTATAATCCTCCATAGAATCAATAGAACTGGACTGTGAACCCTGGACATCAGGAGTGTCAGAACAAATCGAAACTAAGGCTTCTCTCTCACCTCTAACTGCCGCACAAGCATGTGGTTGAGTTTTATCAAAGTCATTTTTTCTCTTAAGTTTAAAGCATTCACTGATCAGATGACCCTTTTTCTTACAATAACTACAAGTAGGAAGCGACCCTATTCCAGAAGATCCTTCAAAACGTCCTGGACCGGACTTAGAACCACCTTGGGATGGAGACTGGGAACTTGTGAAAGACTGAGACCCTGAACCACTCTTTTTATATGTGTCTGAATTGGTAGAATTACTGCTAGTCTGAGATCTTAATACAAAATTCTTTTTATGAGACAGAGCATAAGTATCAGATATGACTGCTGCCTCTTCAAAAGTTTTCACATTCTTATCTTCTAAATGTGTTTTCAAATCTTGAGAAACACATTCCTTAAACTCTTCTACCAGGATGACTTGGCGTAAATTAGCAAAAGTTTTATCAAGTTTCTTAGATCTAAACCAATGATCGAATACATCTTCTTTCTCTCGTGAAAATTCAACAAATGTTTGATTATCAACCTTCCTATACTTTCTGAATTTTTGTCTATATGCTTCAGGTACTAATTCATATGCTTTTAATATTGCTGCTTTGACCTTCTCATAGTCTGAACTTTCAGCTACCCCTAGTGCAGAGTATACCTCAGCTGCTTTGCCAATCAGTACACTTTGTAACATTGTTGACCAAACATGTTGTGGCCATTTAAGATTCTCTGCGACTTTTTCAAATTGGGGAAAATATTTGTCTACAGATTTTTCTTGAAATTTTGGAACTAATCTGATATTTTTTGCTGCGTCAAATTCAGTTTTGAAAACTGACGGTTCTGGTTGGTTTTGTAATTTTAATTTCTCTAATTCAAAGTTCATTTCACGCTCTCTTTCTCGCTCTTCTCTTTCAAATTTTCGTTCACGCTCTCGTTCTTCTCTTTCTAATTTGTCTAATTCAAATTTTCGCTCACGCTCACGCTCTCGTTCTTCTCTTTCTCTGTCTCTTTCTCGCTCTTCTCTTTCTAATTTTTCTCTTTCAAATCGCATTTTCTCTAACTCTACTTGATACTAAAATTCTGACATTTTATAAGAGCCTAACTCTGATTTAACTGTATAATCTGGAAGATCGTATTTTTCAAAGATGTTTTCTTCTACTAATTTGTTTGCAACCTTAATTCTAAAGTCTTGCTTTCTCTGAGAGGATTTAACATCTAACCCAAAATGCAAACCTAATGCGATCAAGTTATCCTTTTTTAATGTATCAAAAACCTGAACACTTGGTGAACTAAGAAAGTCTGTGACCGAAAATACCATGTTGATTTTTGCTGGCTTATAATCAAATTTAACAAAATTCTTACAATAAACTGCAAAAGTGCAAAAAAAAAAAATTCTTGATCCCGGACGAGCCCCCAATTCTGTTATGGGTCAGAATAACCCTAAATGCCAGCAAAGATCAATCACACAGTTTAAACTTAACACTAATTTATTTACAGTAATATACAAATCATTAAGTACAAACTTAGCAAAAATCTAAAAATACATACATCAGAGTGTCCGTTGCTGCACACAGAGTCCCAGTGAAATTATATCCCAGTAATACCTCAATGATGCTTATACGACAATCTTTTCTATGCATCGAATTGACAGGATATTTTATACAGTAATATAAATCTAGAATATTCTAGAAATTGTAAATACATGATATTCCTGGAAAGTTCTAGACATAAACAAACTTCAAGAATGTTCTAGAAAAAAATGACCAAACATATTGACCACTCTGGAATGTTCAAGAAACTTAATGTTACTAATAATATACATGATGAAATAATACAAATACAACACGACTCACAACAGGTACAAGTATCTAAAAAAAATAGAGCGTAAGTAATTATGAGTCAGTCATATATTTTAAAAAGATTATAACTTTTCCTGTTTTAAGATATTTTACCAAGTATTAAATAAGAGATACTTGGTATTAAATTGAATTTACTTTTAAAAATGCGTGAAAAATACATGATTGCACGGAGCTAATAGTAAAGGAATTATACAATAATTAGGAGTCAGCTGATAGCAAAGGAATTACACAATAATTAGTAATAAATAAGGGCCAGCTGTTAGTGATTGCATTATACATTAATTAGTAGTCAGCTAATAGCAGAAAAACTATACCTTAATTACGGGACAGCTGATATTAAAGGAATTACACATAAATTAGTAGTCAGATGAAATAAAAGAAATTATACAATAATTAGTGGTCAGCTGATAGCAGATGAAATATACAATAATTAGAGGTCAGCAGATAGCAGAGGAATAATACAATAATTAGTGTTCAGCCGTTAGTAAAGGAATTATACAATAATTAGGGGCCAAATGATGGCGGATGAATTATAATTAGGGACCAGCTGATAGTAAAGGAGTTATAAATTAATCAGTAGTTACTTGATAGGGATTCTACAATAATAAAAGTTCAGCTGATAGCAGAGGAATTAATGGTAATCTAACAATCAAACTCTATGATAAACATGACAACTTTCAATTATTGACAAATTGATCAAAGGAGATTTTGACCAGTCTCGTTTAAAGTCATCATTTTGTACGTTCTATGGTCGATACAATTACCTTGTCAGCGAAGACAATTAATCATAGAATAAAATGCTGTCTGAACTTTTTTGCAAACTGATTGTTATGGAATCCAGAGAGGGCTACGCACTTCACTATCGCATCATCGCACCATCGAGCTTTAGATCGATAGTGCAATGAAGAGATAATGCGATAACGATGAAGCGATATTCACACTGGCTCAATCGTGCTTATATCGCACCATCGCCATCGCACCATACATCATCGTCATCGTGCTATCACACCATAGCTCCATCGTCATCGCATTATCGCTTCATCGTTATTGCACCATCGAGCCAGTCGATAGTGAACTGCATGGCCCTATCTGGATTCCATAATCCATTATTTATATACTGAATTAACAGCGGATTTTCCCGTTATTTCTTGCTCATGACAAGGAGGACGCAGCGGGTGTGACCGGTAAGCTGGGGATGCTCACTCCTCTATGGCACCTGTTTCCATCTCTTATGTTTTCAAGGTTCATGTTTATTCTGCTCCTATTCTTTATTGTTTTATGAACTTTTGAACTTGAATCCATGTTTCATACGATAATAAGTGGTCAGCTGATAGCGGAGACATTATAAAAGAATTAGGGACCAGATGAGAGCAGAGAATTATAGTTGTATAGTTTACAGGATTGATGTCATGGATTGCTTTTTGATATCTATCATTTGTATAGTTTACAGGTTTGATCAATTTAATCACTATTTGATACCTTCGCTATGTATAGTTTACAGGATTGATGTCACAGATCAGTATTTGTTACCTTTGATTTGTATAGTTTACAGGATTGATGTCACAGATCAGTATTTGTTATCTTCGCTTTGTATAGTTTACAGGATTGATGTCACAGATCACTATTTGTTACCTTCGCTTTGTATAGTTTACAGGATTGATGTCACAGATCAGTATTCGTTACCTTCGCTTTGTATAGTTTACAGGATTGATGTCACAGATCAGTATTCGTTACCTTCGCTTTGTATAGTTTACAGGATTGATGTCACAGATCAGTATTTGTTACCTTTGATTTGTATAGTTAACAGGATTGATGTCACAGATCAGTATTTGTTCTCTATGAATTTAATAGTCTACAGGATTGATGTCACAGATCAGTATTTGTTCTCTATGAATTTAATAGTCTACAGGATTGATGTCACAGATCAGTATTTGTTACCTTTGATTTGTATAGTTTAAGGGATTGATGTCACAGATCACTATTTGTTATCTTTTTATTTTATTCCAAGCTTCCTTTTTGTAATCAATAAAAATTGATTAAGACTTCTTAAAATGATTGGCACATTTTATTGACATTGAAAATTTCATATATGAATAACTACACATACATGTAAAACTAAAATCCTTCGAGATAAAACTATGATTGCACAAGAATGATGAGTTTGTGATTTATCTGTGACTGGTGTAAAATCAGAAAACTTCATCGCACACCAATACAAACCTTAGTTATACTAGCTTATATTCTTTTTCTAAAATAAATACAATAATAGTTCTAACATATCACTAGAATATTGCACTTTACAAGGTTTTTGTTGCTTTATTACACAACAGTGGCTGACATATTCACAAAAATAACAAGGGATGTAACTCATATATCTCCCCATGTTTCCTCCTCCACTTATCTATACCGTAGGAACTAAAACATGACATAAGTTGATAATACTTGTCTTAGTGTTGACAGAAAATCCATCAGCAGTTTATATTCTATATCAATCAATGAGAGAACTCTACAACAGTTGTGAAGGTTTGTTGTGGCGTCACAGGAAGAAACAATCATGTAGCACTCAAAACCACGCCCCTAAGTGTGAACACCCTTCAATCTTTGTCATCATCCCGATCTCGTGGTCCCTCATGTAAACATTGTCTTTTAACTTTAGACTTCTCAACTCCAGGCTCCTTTATCATCAAACTGTAACAAGATCAAACATAAAAATTAACTAGGTCAAACATTAAAATAATATTTTTTATCAAGTGAACGAAAAATTGACATTTTAAAAATTTTCTTTCAAAGAATAATTTATAAATCTGTTGAATACCTTGCTTGGACTAAAGTAGGCAAAGTTGGCAAAAGCATCCTCTGAGGCAGCAGCATTACTTCCTGTGGAG